GTGGAAGGTGCGTCTAAGCATCCAAAAGACTGATTATTGATTTGTTTAATCTTAATTTAAATTTAAGTAAATTTCTGCAGTGTTGACTATATTAGCACAAATCTAGAGGGAGACTTCACATAAATGAAAAATTATTACTTTGGTAAATACTAGCTATAAGAAAATATGGTGCTTTGAGTGTACAATGGGGGGGGTTGACCTAATTTAAAGAGTAAGAGAGAGACTTTCTGCTGGAGTAATATTGGAGCAGAATCAATAGCATAAAAGAGAGGAGAGGCTGGGCAAAATAGTTTCTCATGTATGTTTAAAAACCCCACACAAAGAGCAGAGTAGATTTAAGGAATTTAATTCTTTTGAAAAAAAAAAAAAGACAAAAAACCAAAACATTTATGTGCGTGCACGCAAGTGTGTGTGCAAGACAGAGAGAGAGAGAGAGAGAGAGAGAGAGAGAGAGAGAGAGAGAGAGAGAGAGAGAGAGACCCTTTTTATTTTTATTTTCTGTGTATGAGTGTATTGCCTGCATGTACATAAATACCCCCATGTCATGCAGTGCCCATGGAAATCAGAAGAAGGTGTCAAACTCTCCTGGAACTGGAGTTATGGATGGTTGTTAGCTGCCACTTGGGTGCTGGGAACAGAACCCAGGTCTTCTGTGAGAGCAGCCAGTACTTCCAACTGCTCAGCTGTCTCTCCAGCCCCTTAAAGTTAGTTCTTAAGAGACTTAGGCCCTAGGTATGGAAGCTAATTTATGGAGAAGAAAGGTTTTGTGTGACAGCCGGGTGAGCTTTTTCCCTTTGATAATTTTTTACAATCAGTGGTCCTCCTTAGAGCTGTCGACCTTGAGTGTTGCTGGGTGTTTAATGAAGGCACAATGCCATTCCCATCTCCTCGGATGAGTGGTACCCAGGACTGCTGTGCAGACTGCGCACAGCCTTCGGCTTGTCCTTTGAGTCTCTGCCTTCTAAAGAGCACAAGCACATGTCATTCTGTGGCCTGGGACACAACATTCTCCCTTGATCACCTTATGAAAAAGGCATTCGACTTTAACCTCACACTGAAAGTGCTCTGGTTCTGTTTCCTTGGTTTTTATACTAAAATAACATAAAATAGCTAATGGAGCTATTTCTTTTGAGAATTGGTGTTTATTTGTGTTTCTCTTCCAGTGGAAATGGAGAAACACATGTAAACAGCCTGTAAAAGACACAAAATCAGAGTGGAAACATGGTGTTAGTACTGTCGGGACCATTGCTGTGGCTACGTGTTAACATTGGCTGTCAGAGGGATGCTGGTGAGTGGGGCCTGGCCTTTGAGTAGTCTTCCTCCCAGAAGACGGCAGCCGGGCCTCACATCTCTCATTCCTTTGGGACATCATGCAGCAACCCTGCCCTGCTCTGACTTTCTCCAAGTGCCCTGAGAGGGAATGTGGGTGCAATGGGTGGAGCTGCTGGTGCCTAGGGAAGGCAGGAGGCACAGATGAGAGCCAGCCCTGCCCCGGGGGACGCTGGATAGCCCAGTTCTTTCCTCTGTGTCCCAAGATCTCAGTCAAAAAGTGACCTACCTTCTGACCATCCTGTTCTTGTGATGAAGCTCTCATCCTTTTCCTTTTTAAAAAATTTTATTTATATTTTATGTTTATGAGTGTAATGCTTGCATGTGTGTAAGTGCACCCATGTTGTGCAGTGCCCCCAGAGGTCAGAAGATGGTGTTGGATCCCCTGGAACTGGAGTTATGAATGGTTGTTAGCCACCATGTAGGTGCTGGGATTTGAACCCAGGTCTTCTGTAAGAGCAACCAGTGCTCTTACTGCTGAGCCACCTCTCTAGCCCAGCTCATCCCCCTTCTAATTGACTTCTTATTCTTCAAAGAAGTGATATTTTTAGCAGCTGAGAAAAAGAGTTCTTTTACTGGAAGCATGTTAGAACGGGCCTCTGGAAAGGTGGTCACCCACTCACCCGCAGACAGGCATCTGCTCGTTTTTTTTTTTTTTCTAAGTGTTTTACAATGTGGGTGTGCTGCTCTGGGTGTAACCTCAGTAGCATCTGGGCAAATGGAGGCATAGGCCCTGTATCCTGGCCACCTGTGTTCAGGCAGTGTTTCTCAGCACATAGTAGCTTGGAAGTGACATCGCACCATACCTTCAGCAAACCTGTTCTCCACCTTTGCTGTGCCAGGTGTGCTGACAAACTGTCTCCATCTGGGTGCAGACCCTCAGCACAGGGTCCCGCTCCCCACACACATGGACTAGTCAGATACTGACAAGGGCACTACTGTGGCACAGGATCACTCAGCCTCCAGACCCAGCCAGGCGTACTCTGAGACTGCACTGATGTCTGGGAAGTTCAAGTTCCCACTTCTTTGTTTTTTTTTAGTCATTCAAAAAAATTTAAAGTTTTTTTTTTTTTTATTACTAGTATATATTATCGACAATAATGGGCTCATCATTGATATTTTCAAACAGTGTACTGTGGACTTTGTTATAATCCCTCACCCTCGTGTCTCCACTGCCAGCTGGTCCTCCCCCCTTTCCAAATAGCCCCCCTTCTTCTTGGGTATTTTCTACACCCCTTGACGATTTCTGCAGAAGAGAAGACAGCATTTTGTCTACTCGCACACTGCAGGGCCCTGCACCTGGTGTGCGGGTGTCTCCGCACCCTTCCGACAGAGTCTTCACTGGTCCTCACAGTCAGCTCTATCCACCTTTGTGTGGGAACTATTTTTAGAGGAGAAGGAGCCCAATTCAGCGTTAAAATGGGTTTGATAGTTCCTCTCATGGGATGGGTGTTGTCAGGGTGTTTTAGCATAGCAACGGAAGTTAAACTGCAGCAGAGGATGATTTCTCTTTCTCTTTTTCCTTGTTTTGAAATGTGTGTTACACTAAGAACTTGTACCACATTTTACTAAAAAAAAAAATAGTTGTTGAGGGTATTGAGGGAGTTCCCATACCATGAAGTCAGTGGTGGTTTGTGTGCTCAGAGCTGTAAGTTTAGCATAAGTTGGGAACCCCAAGACATGTTTGTGTGTTTGGGGACGCTAAGAATCCTTCATATGCGTGAACAGGGCAGCAGGCCTCAGGTCTGGTGTCATTGCTGTGTATACTCAGTGGAGGGAGAGCAGTGTCAGGGCGTGGCTGCACTTGGGGACTGGGGACGGTGCCACTTGAAGTCCACTGTGGCTGTAGGAGTTATTTTTTTCTTTCTTAAGCACATTCCGAAGTTTCTGAATGAATGAGCATGCTACGTTCTCTAAGGAGGTGAGGATGGGTAGCGCTAATTTCCTTAGCCAACTGCTTCTATGGCTTTAGTTTTCTTGATGGGATATCCAGATGGGCTTTTTTGGCATCCATGGACTTTATGAATGAATGAGAAAGCATCTTTGAAATATATTCTACCTGGAACAGCCTACGCTAACAAACACCCGTGGGGAGAATGTTGTCTGCTTTTACATTTGCAAGTGTGTTTTACCCTAGTTTATTTTAGGTGTCTTTAACTGAAAAATGTATAGTCAGCCTTACTGGAGCTTTTTTTTCTGGAAGCATGTAAAAGTTGGATGCATTCCTTGAGTAGATAGACCCTGTCTCCAGGGCTGGTTGCTAAGCCATTTGGGGGCAGCCTGGGCTGGTGAGCTCAGCGTAGAGCTGAGGTGCGTTTTTTGGTCTCATTTGGCCGAGCCACAGCAAACCTGGTGGCCCTGAGCTCTTCTTTGATGCTCTGCTAATACTGCAGAAGTCACTCAGCTTTTTTTAAACCTCAGCTTTCTCGTGCGTAGAATCAATACAATAACTCCCATTTTGCAGGGAGCGAAGAGTGAGTTAGATGGCATGCACCCATGCCCAGCACCAACTCACCTATTGGCGGGACCTGTGGAATTGCCCTCAAATGGGGTTAGGTTTATAAAGGGCCAGACAGATGTGAAGAGCCATCTCCCAGCCTCTCTTCCGTCCGCTCTCTCCCCTCTGCTGTCCCCTTAGCATTTCAGCCAATGTCAGCACCAGCTTTCAGACCTTGCCTTGGCTGCCTCTGGTCACTGGCTGTCCTGGCCTGGCTCACACTGGAAGTCTGTCATACGCAGCCTGCTCAAAAGTGTGCTTCTTCATGCCGGCTGGTTTCCATTGAGTAACTCCAGCTACTTGAGACTAATGTGTGTAGCAATCTTCTGTTTATTGTCTTGAAAATAGTAAAAGCATAGTGAGAAAAAGACAGATTCTTCAGGTGACTGGGAATTAGAGAGGGCCAGATCACACCTTGACCTCAGAGACCTGTGTGGACCTTCCTTCACACTTCCTTTCACATGGACATCGTGGGAGGGCTGTGGTGTGACCTACATCTCAATAGGCTACCTCTGTCTGCTGTGTGGCTAGAGGCGGTCAAGGAGTGAAGGTGACAAGGCAGAATGGCCAGGAGGGAAACAACAGTGACTCTGGTGGGCGGGCAGGCTGGCTGTGAAAGTCATTGACACGCCCCGAGAGCTTGTGCAGGATGTGGTGTGGATAAAGGGAGGCCTCCATGAGTCCTGGGTTAGGCCAAAAGGGAGTCAAGTTTAGACCAAAGATGAGCCGCGGGCTGGGCCAGCAGTGAGTGTTGACAGAAGCTGGTCATTTGGCCAGAGGGCTCCTCAGAGGGCTGGACAGGGCCTGTGGTAGAGAGGAGGGCCATTGAAGTTGGGCTGGTGTTGGCATGTAGACTCAGACCAAGCTGTGAGTTGGAGTGGCACACGCTGGTGTGGAGAAACCTTCCAGTCCAAGGGAGCTGCTGGTGCATAGGCCTGAGAGGAGTCAAGACCTCACGTGGCTTGGGCCTTCCTGGACTGGAAAAAAGCTGCATGCTGATCAGTGTCCCAGCCCGTGTGGACGAGTGCCCAGGAAGACCCTCCCATGCTGCAGTTCCCACAGGATGAACCAGGGAGCAGACTACCGAGCCAGTCCTCTGACAAGGCAAAGCCAGCCCTACCTTACAAAAGGGACCGCTCATGTCTTACTGGGGGCTTTCTGTCTTACTTCCTAGATGGAATCAGCGTGAGCGGCTTTCCTCTGTCCAGTCCTTTCCGCCAGGTCGTCCGGCCTCGAGTGGAGAACAGACCCACGAACCCTGCTGAGAGCAGCAAGACGGGGGACCTCAGCCATCTCAAGGTTAGTCGTTCTGTGGAGGCCCAGGTGGCCAAGGTCCCCCTGGCTTCTGCAGAGCTCTTTCCAGCTCAAGTGTTTGGAGTGTTTTTCTGAAGGGGGTGGCGGTATGTGGTTGGAAGTTGCTTCTCATATTTATGTCTTGTGGGATGCTCTGGAAAGCAGTCACGGGGCAGCTCAAGGGCCTTGTTTTGGTGACACAGATACTTGTTTTCCTGTGATGTGGTGACTTGGAAGGCAGGCAGATTAAGGACAGTGGGTAGAGTAGGCGATATGCCTTTTCCTTTGAGAATTGTATTTATTACCTAATTATTCCATTTGGATAGTAACCTTATAGCATTTTTCTTAATTATTGGGCAGCTCTTGCCGGTGCTGGTTTATAAGCACACAGTTGTGGGGGCATTGTCTGTACAAAGCTGGAATAGTCGGGACCCAAGGGCCAGCAAAGCAGGGTCTGCTGGCTGCTGGGGGCTTTAACAGGACCTGTAAGTGCCAGTCAGGAGCCTGCCCAGAGGCCTCACAGGGGGTTGCTATAGGGCTCAGAGCTATGACAGTGCAGATACAAGTCATTGTTCAAGTAAGTGTGTATCAGAGGGGCGTGATGCCCTTTACAGTTCTCATGACAAAATGTGAGACAGACATTGAGTGATGGCGACTCCAGAGAAACTTGTCCTGGATGTCCAACTGGGATGGGGAGAGCTGCATACCATGCTGTGGACTGTCCTGAGTGACCTCAGTGTACGGTAGAGGAGGGTGGGTACCTCTGAAGCCAGGTTCTGGCTAGAGGGAGTGAGTGCCTGGCCATTAGAGTCCTGGCCATTAGGGAGAAGCTATCTTACGGAGCTCTCAGGGAGAACATCCTCCACAGGTCCCTATGGTGGAGATGGGCTGCAGTGCCTGCTCTGGAGCTTCTGCGGACGGCTGCAGATGGGACTATCTGTGGGTCTATAGTGTGTGAAGAGTCCCACAAGATGGAACCAAGGCTCAGTAGGAAACTGCTCCTGCTGAGCTATCTTTCCAACCCCACTAAGACAGAAGGTGGTGAGGAAACAGGCTTTCTAAGTTGTTGTCAGACTGAGCTTTGCTCACCAGCCCTGGCATGGCGACACCTTTTACTGCATCCCCCTCTTGAACCACAGTGTGTCACAGCCCCCTAACCTCTGCACCCTGCCTGTGTCACAGTAGTCCCGTGTTTTGAGTGCTACCTCTTCCTCCCTGGCATCCCACTAAGGAAATGGGAAGTAAAGACCTGATAGTGCAGACTGTGCTCCATGACGGGGGAGCTGTGCTGAGTGCTTTCCACCCATGGTTGCTGGGTCCTTGTAAAGGTCCTAGGACCTGAGCCAGAAACAACTTCCAACAGATCTTTCCATGTTCGTGTAGTCAGCATGTGTGTGGACATGAGGGTAGTGGGAAGGGCATGACCTCATGTCCTCTGCTCCCACAAGTGGGATAGGATCTGCAAAGTATCTGCCAAGAGTATCCTAGGAAAAAACCTTACCATCTGAGGTGGGGGGGATGTCGGACCACTTCACAGCAAGGGATGACGGAACCTGTGTGGGCGACAGTGGCAGTGACAGCAGTTTCAAACCTGTCAACTTCTACAGTGTGTTCTGGACCTTTGGTTTGTGTTCTATGGGACAGTGAGCTGCTCTGAGGAACAGTGTCAGTGGCGTGGTTTCAGGCTTCTCTGTGGGCCACCTGAGCTGTGGGGCTGGCTGCAGAGCCATTACCCTGAAGAAGGGAACCCTTAAAATCATCACTCTGGTGTTATCATGGAAATAGTAACTGAGTGAAAGTCTTCTTGGACCAGGCACAATGTGTGTCCAGGTTGCCATGAAGGACCCTGCTAGGTGGCAGGAGCTGTGCCCATGCTCATGACTCTTTATCTGCATGCTGTGGAGGACTCTGCGGCCTAGAATAGAGACTGTGTTCAGTGGGTCTTAGAAACCATATTATAGGGCTGGGACTGAAGCTCATGGGCAGAGCACTTAACTAGCATACATGAGGCCCTGGATTCCTATCCGTAGCATCACACACACACACACACACACACACACACACACACACACGCACGCACGCACGCACACGTACGCACGCACACTGTCAACCAGATCTATCTGCTTCTCAGCTCCCATCTAGAAAATGGAATAATAATGTTCTCTTTCTGGGGTTGCTGGGAGACTTTGGTAATGGAAGAGCCTGGCAGAGGAAAGAAAGAGCAGTACATTGGGGCCTCATCTGTGTATGTAAAGAAAACTGAAATTAGGGCAGGTGAGTTGGGGTCCTAGCTGACATTAGCCATGGAGTATCTCAGGAGGAAGCAGAGCTATGGCCTTCCCTTCTCTGAGTGACTTGGAGTCTAGTGTTGGGTCAGATCAGCTCTGGCCCTTCAGCTGTCTAGCCCTCCGCCTTCTGAATCACATGTGATGAGGCTTCTGAGAGGGTAGAGGCTCACCATGCCTTGTCCCAGCAGAAATGCCAGGACCCAAGTTGGACTGTGCTGGAGTCACTACTGTGGGAAGCATATGGGCTAGACCGATGGGGAACCACTGAGGCCTGGACATAAAGCTCTGTGGATGTGGAGCAGTAGGGGAGTGCCCCACTGCACAGCCTGGCAGCCATTTCCATGCTTTGTTCTTGGTACTTAAGCAGGTCTCCCCTGGTTTCTAGCATTGCCCTGAAAACACTTCACAGCTGTGTATGTAGCTGAAATCCTGACAAAACCAAAGCTCGCCAAGCGGCGAGGCCTCCCTTGGGCTCTGTGTGCACTGGCTTTTTGGAGAGACTGCCGCTGTCCTCAGGGTCTCCTCTCTCGTAGCCATGGGTGCGTTTATGGGTGCCTCTCGGGGGAGCCAAGGATGGGGCTTCAGCCTCAGGAACTTGAGAAAAAGAAAGGCAGACATTAAACCCGAAGTAACAGGAAGGAGATCGGAGAGCAGAGTCAACGAGTTCTGAGAAGTGCCAAGAAATCCGCAAAGGACCCAAAAGACTGTTCTTGAGGAAGTCAGCGAAATTTATCCACATCCAGCCAGATCAATTAAAGAGTAAATACGTAAATTACCAGTATCAGAACAGAGAGAGGGATCTCTATTCAGGCTTTGCAGAGGTCCAGAAGATAACTGAGACGTGTCAGGGACAAGCTCACACTAAGGCTGAGATGGGAACCTGAGCTGCTCTGAACCACTTGTGGAAAGGGGATTTTGTTACAAGTTTTCCACAGACAAACTCCGTAAGGGAGAAATAATGTGAACTTTGTGTAAACTTCTTTCAGGAAAATTGAAAAAGAAGGAATAGGGCCAGCGATATGGCTCAGTGGGTAAAGGCACTTGCCATGAAAGCCCCACAACCCAAGTTCAATGCCTGGAACCCAAGGAAAGGTGGAAGGACAGAACCGACTCTACAAAGTTGTCCTCTGACCTCCACATGCACCCTCTAGCATGTGCCTCCTCCCATCTCACACACACACACACACACACACACACACACACACACACACACACACACGAGAGAGAGAGAGAGAGAGAGAGAGAGAGAGAGAGAGAGGAGAAAAATAAAAAGGAATATTTCCTAAGCTATCCTCTGAGATCACTGTTAGCCCCAACACCAAGACAAACAGGTGATGGAAAAAAAAAAAAAAAAACCCATGAAGCAAGGACTGCAGACCATCTCCCCCAAGCTCAGGTGCACAACTTTAAAGCAGAATTTTAGCCTACACTACCCGATAGGAAATACAGTGTTGATGGAGCAGGTTTATCTGAGGAGGGCAAGGTTGGTTTGACGTTAGAAAACTCACCAGTGCAATTCACCATGTTTATAAAGTACAGAAGGAAGATTATATAAGTGTCTTCAGTAAATTCTCTGCTGCCTAGAAATCGAAAGGAAAGTCTCTGGCTGACCAGCTGCTTTTGTGATTGATGGGACAGGTTGGCCTGGGGCTCTATGGAGCCCCTGTGACCAAGAGCTCTTGTATCAAGTTGTAAAGTGAAGAACCAGGCCTTTTCCTTCATGTGCTTACATGGCTTCGCACTTTAATACGTTTAGGTGGACTTGGAGAATCTACAAAGAACATTATCCAAAGAGCAAATTTATTCATGTTAAATATATGTACTAGGTAAAAAATAGCATAGTTTATTTATATCTGTATCTGTATCTCTATCTATCTATCTATCTATCTATCTATCTATCTATCTATCTATCTATCTATATCTATCTATCTATCATCTATCATCTATCTATTTTTCTATCTATCGTGTGTGTGTGTGTGTGTGTGTACATGTTTGCTTGCCACGGTGCACACGTGGAGGTCAGAGGACAGCTTGAGGGAGTTGATTCTCTTCTTCTACCATGTGGGCCCTAGGGAGGGAACTCAGGTTGTCAGGCTTGGTGGTAAGCACCTTTACCTGCTGAGCCATTTCACTAGCCTTAGCCGAGTTTCTTAGTGAAGCCAAGTTCAACTTAAAAATGTTTCCCATGAACCTTTTTGGGACTTGGCATTCAGAATTAAAACTCCTGTCAGCAGTGAGGTCAATGATGCCATTTGTTCACTAAATGTTTCCAGAACACTGGTGTGCATGAGGGCTGTGGCCTGCCGCCCTGCAAAGACCTGGGGTAGAGCTTGGGAGCAAGAAGAGACCTTTTCAGGCTGTGTGGTTGCTCCTACCAGGCAGGAGCTTGGGAACAGGCAACACCTCAGCCATCCAGGTGTCCCAGGGTCTTTTAAACATGTATTTTTAATTACACTTTGTGTATGTGTGTGCACACGTGGGAATCAGAAGATAACTTGTAAAAGGGATTTTTTCAGTTTTAAAATTTTTTATTATTGTGTGTGTGTTGATGCTCGCATGCCACAGGACACGTATGGTCGGGGACAGCTTGCAGGAGCTGGCTCTGTCCTTCCACAGTGGGTTCTGGGGATCAAACTGAAGTCAGCAGGCTGGAGTGGCAAGAGCTCTAACCTGCCGAGCCATTTGCTGGCTCTATTTCCAGGGTCTTCATGCAGGAAT